GTATTGAATGGAGCACTGGGTGTTATATGCAAACAATGAATCATGGAACACTACATCAAAAACTAATGATGTAATATATGGTGACTAACATAACAATAAAATTTAAAAAATCTATTATGAAGTTGTTTTACAAACATTTAAAATAAATAAATAAAATAAAATGGGAATAGTTATAGAAACTCCTTCGTGGAATTGTTGTAAGGATTAAGTACCTGCCATGTAGGAGCATGCAGCAAATCTTAGCTATGATGATGAAGAAGATGAAGACACCAGCAGCAGCCTTTGTCAGCTGCCTCTGCAGCTAAGTCACAGGTTCTTAACAAGGAGATGATTGGAACCATTCATAGACTTTTTTTTTCAAAACACAGTTGCATAAGTCCTACTCCACAACTTCCGTTCCTGAATCTCTGGGCTGAAGCCTGATGTTCTTTTTTAGCACAAGATAGAACATTGAGCAAGACATAGTCTCTGTCCTCCAGAAGCATATAGTGCAGTGGGCACTTAGTCATATATCTGGTCACCAAATGTCAGAGAAAGGGAGAGAAAAGTTTCCATGGATGGACTAGGAGAAAAGAGTTAAAGTCAGCATTTTGTGAGTGGAGAAGAAATTAATCAGGTTTACTTAAATTCTTTTTGCTTGCTATAGTTACTACAAAGAGGGATGCTGGAAGGTGTGTGGATCATAAAATTTGAGATAGCTCTGTCTTGTGTTCTCATATGTGAGAAACTAAAGTTATGCAGCTATTTGTTTAACCAATAGTCCCAAACTTCTCATACTGAAATGAGTGTTCCCTGCTCTAGAAGTTGCCTTGGGAAGCCAGATGGTCCCTTTACCGAAGTTGTCATTGTAAATATCTCTTTATTCTACTTGGGAATTGTGTTCAAAACCAGTTTAGGAACCCCACAGGAATGCAGAGCTCACTGATTTATGTACCTCGTATTTTGGACTCATAACAGCATTACCTAGTACATATACTTGCCATATTCATTAGATTTGTTTCCAGAAAATTTGTGGCTCTTCCCCAAGATAAAGATATGCCATCAACAAGAATATTCAAAAGAATATGTTGAAGGTTCAGAATGTACCTGGGGTCTAGAAAAGTTTAGAGTCACTGTCATATTCTTGAAATCAGTATTTGACTTCCCAAAGGTGCAACCTGACTTGGGTATGGATGCCTTTATAAGAACGTGTCTCATTTTTTTAAGTGAATCAACTGTGGCCACACCTTATCCACGTACTGCTATCAACATGAGGGCATTGGCAGCTAGATTTAGACCTTTCAGTTGCATAATTAGTGTTTGAGATGCGCATTTGTGTAAAGTCTGGCCAGGAATATCACATGATGCAGTGATATGTGGGTGATTGAAAAAATTTTCTTTTTTCTTTTTTTTTTTTTGCCTGTCCAGTTCCCAGTGCTGCTCCTCAGAATCTGTCCTTAGAAGTAAGAAATTCAAAGGTAAACTTTATATTGCTATTCATTTTTACTGGCATACTACTAAGTCTCAGAAGGACTTATAGAGAGGGAGATTCTATATCAAAAGAATCGTACTCAAGCAGAGAAATAAGGTGTCATAGATATTACACCTTCCAATAAAGCTGGACTTAGAAACCGACTCCGTGTTTTCTGTTTAACTTTACTGCCTTTCTCTGATGCCAAGATTAAGTTAGTCTTTCTGCAGATACATTGTAGTTTGCAAATCCTGACATTATAGATCTTAACAGTTCAGAACATTGGTGATGAGATGGAAAGAGGTAAGTTGTTTATGATACCATGGCCCCTTAGTACTGTGAAGTGAAGGTAGACATCCATCAGAACGGTACATAGGCTCAGACTCCCTCCTGGCCACGTCCACTATACACTGAAGGCCATGTGTGCCTCTCCAAGGCCCAAAGCCGCTTCTGGGCTACATTGACAATTGAGACACTCAGTCCTTTCAAAAAGCACCATGGGAATCCTTGTTCTTTAATTAAAAACCAGCTATTAATTAATGATTCCCTTCTTGGAGAGTTTTAGGCAGAATTGTCTAATTTCAGCCATTCCACAATGGAGATAGCAGAGAACCTTACACCTAACCATAGTTTACTTCATAATCTATGTGCTCTGACCTTACATTTTCCTTCTGAAAGCTTTTCTGAGACTTTTGCCTAAATGTCTAAATACCCAGGAAAATAAGGGCCCAGAGCATACTGCCTGCAAATATAATCTTCCCAAAAAATAATTTTGAGTGATCCCTAAGTAAAACTCTGTCTTTGCACCCTGCTGCCTTATGTCAGTGAATTCAGGATAGTAATTTATAAAACAGGACCAAGCTTTTTGATATATTCAGTCTTTTCCCTATAATCTTGTCTTTCCCAGAGTATTGTGATTCACTGGCAGCCACCTCCTCCAGCCACACAAAATGGTCAGATTACTGGCTACAAGATTCGCTACCGAAAGGCCTCCCGAAAGAGTGATGTCACTGAGACCTTGGTAACTGGGACACAGTTGTCTCATCTGATTGAAGGTAAGCTGCCTTGCATGTGGGTGAAAGGTAGGAGATGGCGTCTTTCTCAGGCATTGAGTTATGCTAGTCTAATAACTACTCTGAGCGGTTGACTTAAAGTGAAAACAGTTCAAAAGAATTCGTAACGGTTCAGTCTACTTCTGACTTCATAAAAGTTAATGGAACACAATCTTATAGGTTCTGTCATCTCTGAGTGTTGAGTTTTATTTCTTTACTTGTGGTTTTCTGTATTCTCCACATTTTCTTTTTTGCATGTATATACAACAGATCTTCCTCAACTTACGATGGGGTTATGTCCCAATAAACCCATCAAAATTTGAAAATATCCTAACTCAAAAATACATTTAACACACCTAACCTGCCAAAATCATAGCTTAGCCTAGCCTACCTTAAATGCGTTCAGAACACTTACATCAGCCTACAGCTGGACAAAACCATTTAACACAAAGCCTATTTTATAACAAATTATTAGATACCTCATGTACTTTATTGAATACTGTACTGAGATTGAAAAACAGAATGTAAGTGTATAAGGAGTTTACCCTCGTGACCCCAAGGCTGACTGGGAGCTGCTCCTGCCCCTCCCAACATCACAAGAGAGGATTGTGCCTCCTATCTCTAGCCTGGGAAAAGATCACAATTCAGAATTTGAAGTACAGTCTCTACTGCATGCGTATTGCTTTTGCATCACTGTAAAGTCAAAAAATATTAAGTTGAACCACCCTAAGTCTGTATTGGTTTTTTGCAATCTCAAAACAAGGCAAAACAAAGCTATATAGGCCAAATATCTACTGTAAAGGTCTACAGAGATCTACAAAATGATTTTTTTTACACTGACACCACTCGTGTATGTGGCCTGAAACATTTGTGAATAGCTATAGTAGTGCAGTAGTCTTTCTTGCTACTACTTGCTACATGATAAAGTTTTAGAGAAGTCTGTCTGGGATAGCTCCTTTTGTGTAGTTTTCCCTTTATGTGCAGCAGACCAAGTGGCATATTAGGTAACAATGGGCCCTGCTCCATCTCTAATATGGGCTTCCTCTATAGATGACAGAATAGCCCCCTCTTTCTTCCCCCAGTAGGGGGAGTAGACTTGGCTCTGCAAGGGCCAGTTGGCTTTGCAGGAGAAGCATGGGAAGAAGATGAAGTGCTTTTTGCTCTTTGGATATTGGGACTGTGCTTATAAAGAATAAAGATAGATGACCCTAAGAAACCATTTTGGGGGTTCCTAGCAGAGCTGGTAGAAGAAAACTGCAAGAATTGGAGATATTGACATCCTTATCTAAGCCCTGAGAATGAATTTCATCACCCTTGGGGAGCTCTCAGCTTCCCTTACATTGCTCCCTCCTTGGTAGAGAAGCTTGACATCAGCCACTTTCCTATGCCTCCAGGGGTCAAGTTCTTGATAGAACCAAGATCTGGGGTCAAAAAGTGTAGTGGGATGAGTTTCTAAGAATTAGGTGAGTCACTGACAGTGAAAACTTGTACTCTGGTAACTTGTAACTCTGAAAACCCAGCAAGGTTTTCTCCTTACTCTTCACCTCAAAGATGGGATTGACTTCTTTCAAAATAGGTGAATGTTTGTCTCCAAGGGTAGTTTTCAGTCTTGGAGTTTCTTCACATGAACCCCACAGCTCTAAGCTGCGGCGAGTACACATGGTTGCAGTGGTGTTGCTGAGACAGCTCACTAAAGGAGCGTTACAGTACAATTGGTCTCGTGTGTTCTTAAAAACCAGTTGCCGTGAGAGACTCTGGACTCCGGAAAACAAACTGAGGGTTACAGAAGGGAGATGGGTGGGGGATGGGGTAGCCGGGTGATGGGTATTAAGGAGGGCATGTGTTGTGATGAGCACTGGGTGTTATACACAACTAATGAATCGTTGAACACTACATCAAAAACTAATGATGTATTATATGTTGGCTAATTGAAAATTAAAAAAAAAAAACAGTTGCTGATTTGACTCCAAATACAGGTAACATTTCCCATGCATAACAGTACCTGTATACCAGCTACTGTTCTTGTTGCTAATAATGTAAAAACAGAATATAGTCCTGGACCATGAGGAGGCTGTTCATTTTCTCAATGAAACGTTTGATGTGTAAGCAAAATAATCATCTTCATGGTAAAAATAGATTTTTCTTTATGGAGAAAATCATTGCATTTTAAAATCATATTTAGATTCATTTGTTTAACAGACTTTATTGAACTTGTTACTAGTGTGTGCTGGTACTGGGTATATAATGGTGAGCACAGATGGACATCTTTGCTCTCTTGAAGCATTAACTTGAAGCTTGATAAGCATCAGAGAGCAATATGGATTACCAGGATCCTGTCCTGAACCACAAATTACGTGACTCTGTTTTAGCCAGAAGTAATTGTTGTTTCTTCATTCTGTACCACTCATGGCACTTAACACATTCTGCCATATCTTTATAATACGAATTGTGGGCCCTAGTTGAGTCTATGAACTCTGTAGGTAACCTGGGAGGAAAGGAACTCTTAGCCTTTTTACACATGCATCTCTTGCTCACATGTGTGTGCACACACTCCCCCCCCCCCCCCCCGATCTCTTGCTTGCTGTCTTACACTCTAACTCTCCCCAGAGGGGAGGGAATGATAATTTGATTGGTTGAATTCTTTCAGGACCTCAGTTGAGCCATGTTTGCCAGTAGTCCATATTATTTGTCATTAACAGTACAAACACATGCACAGCTTTCTCTGGCACTTTCTGCTTCAGTGTATGCAGGGAGGTGACAGGTAAATTGACAGGCCCAGCCATGTGGCTTCTCCTTCTGCCTTGCTTGTTGCTTTCTTATGGGCAGACAGCTTCAGGATGGGCCTGCTGGGAACCATACCTCCCATCTCTTCTCTCACCACGTGACAGGATTCATTCACTGAGCCATCCTGCATCCTGGCCACGTTCTCTCTCTCTCTGTGGTTCTCTCCTTAGACCTTCTTTACAATGCTGCTGGCCAGAGATCCCAATATGTCAATATGGGGAGGTAGGATCATTTCTCATAACCTTGTAAGATGTAATGCAATATTTAGTATGTAAGTGCTCTAAAGATGTATACACGTGAAGTGTACACTGAAAAATAGTTAAGATGGTAAATTTTGTTGTGTGTTTTATCATAAAAAAAAGAAAAAAATGGATGCATGAATTATCTGAATAGCTGACCATATTATTGGCTGTTGCTCTACTTTGTAGGGTAGACTTTTACATGTGGATTTTTGTTGCCTTCAGTACATTGGTATATTTATTACTCATAGTCATTATGAAAAATTGCATAAAAGAAAGGCTTTATTCCTCTTATTGTATATACTTATGGGTAGGTAAGCTGTTGTGAAAAAGATTTGTAGGCCTACTCTTGTCATGGGGTGGCTCAGAGAACAGAGGTGAGGTAACCCATTAGGAATTACATCTTTTAATTCCTTTCCATCTTGGGTGTCTTCTGAGACCAACTGACTTTGTTCCATTGTCATGACTCTTTCATTATCCTTGACCTCTTTTTGACCTTAGCTTCCTTAGTAACAAAATGAAGGGATTACATTAAATGATCTCTGAGGGGCCTTCAAGCTCTTAAAAAAAAAAAGGATCCGTAATCTCCTGGGAACTCTGGTCACTGGTTTTCCTCTTGAATGTATGGGCTTCAGCCTCTGCTGGAGATGTGGGAGCTCGGCTGTGCTGTGGAGATGTATTGCGTGTGCTCTCTAACTTTAACCGAAACTTCATCAAGATGGTAGCTGTGTACTGATTTGGTGGATGAGATACTCAATGAGAAATTGTTAATCTTTTGTTTTCCAGACTCTTATTTCAGCTTGGTTTTTTTTGTTTTTTTTTTTTGTCGTTTGGGTCTCAGGTCTTGATCGGGGGACTGAGTATAATTTCCGAGTGGCTGCTCTAACAGTCAACGGCACAGGCCCGGCTACTGACTGGCTGTCTGCTGAAACTTTTGAAAGTGACTTAGATGGTAAGAACAACAGTCTACAGGATTGGGAGAAGCTAGGTACTAACTGACTGTAGTCAAATTAGTTAAACTGGAAACCCACAGATTTGGGGGCGTATATGGCTTAAGTCTGTGAACTTTACCGTATTACACTCCTGTCATTACTGTAATGCAGCCAGTCTCCTGGAGAGCTGCCCCTGCCCCCGCCCCACCCCCACCCCAGTGGCTTTTACAACCTGTCCCTTCCAGCAGGACCAGAACAAATAAGTCTAGTTTTTTATCAAGGCCACTGAATAGATGAATGATCTGAAATTTAACACTGAGCCACATCAATCCGCCTTTTTCAGCTACGGTTTTCCATTTCCCTTAGTCCTGGACACCTTGCCCTTTCCCTACCTCTTTATTCAGTGAGCACCTTTATGTAGGTGTGTATATGCCTTTATGAGACACAGGTGTTGCACTTGGGAGACCAAACACCTGGGTCCTTATTCTCATTCTTGGTTTGCTAATTTTTAAATTTAGATAGCAAGTTATACCTTGAAGTAACGGATTTGAAAGATATACTATAAATTACTACCTTTTTTAAGCCTCTTAGTCTCCCACCATTTAAATCAATACGTGGTTCTAAAGTTTCCCTTTTTCTGACTTATATTACTTAGGGGAATAAATAATTGATACAATCGCTGTAATGTGATACTTGATCATCTGTTGACAACAGGCTTCTAATTAGTTGGTGTTATGCCTTTCTCATTCCACCTAGTTGAGTCTGGGACTCAGATGTGGGACCAAGAGGAATGAATAACTATTGAAAGGCAGTTTGTTTCTCTCCATTAGGTAGAGGTTCTTAGATCTCCTTGTCTTCCCTTCCAAATTAATACTGCATTGTCTTGTATTTCAGGCTGTTTGGGTTTTGCTTTCTTCTTAGAATATAGTAAAACCATGAGCCATACTTCACTATACATACAGATTCTCTGTGAATTCTTGGGCATAATGGAAAAATCTTAGCCCCAGATAATTTGGCAGGAGGCCAAACATCATGCCCCAAGGATGGTAAATATTCTAAAGTCTTGCTTTTCTGCTTTCTTTCCCAGAAACTCGTGTTCCTGAAGTGCCTAGTTCTCTTCATGTGCGGCCACTGGTTACTAGTATTGTAGTGAGCTGGACTCCCCCAGAGAATCAGAACATTGTGGTCAGAGGTTATGCCATTGGTTATGGCATTGGCAGCCCTCACGCCCAGACCATCAAAGTGGACTATAAACAGCGCTATTACACCATCGAAAATCTGGGTATGTATGCTAAGTAGAAGAAGTAATTGCATGTGGGATTTCTTTCTTCTGACATTTGATTGTATGATAATTTTATTTTTACAGAAAACTTTAAAAAATACTACAAAGGGGCGCCTGGGTGGCTCAGTCAGTTAAGCGTCTGACTTTTGATTTTGGCTCAGGTCATGATCTCAGGTAGGGCTCTGCACTGGGCACAGAGCCTGCTTAAGATTCTTTCTCTGCCCCTCCCCCACCCCACTCACATTCTCTCTCCCTCTCAAAAAAAAGTAGAGAATTTCTATATATTCTTCACTAAGAATGCCCAAAAGTTAACATTTCACCACATGTGCTTTATCATTCTCTATCTTCCTGTACATATATATTTTTTCACTGAACCATTTGAGAGTAAGTTACAGATGGGATGCCCCTCCACCCTCTGATACTTTAATGTGCTTTTCTTAAAAATGAGGGCATTTTC